TGCGCGGGGGGGCGGGAGGCCTGGGGCAGCGGGGCTTCCCCGCTGCCCGAGCCCCTCCGCGGCTTTGCTCTGCGTCTTCCTGGTCTGCAGACCAGGGAGACGCAGAGAAAGCCCCAGAGTACACGGGCGGCAGGACCGCGAGGTCCCGCAGTCCGTGTGCTCTGGGGCAGCCCCGTTCGTAACTGCGGATCCGACATAAGTCGGATCCGCGTAAGTCGGGGACTGCCTGTAGCTTCAAAAAATAAAAGCTAAAAACGTATCTTCAATGTTTTTAGACAGGAGATGTACTGCTACCACTGCTGCAAACTGATCTATGCAAAACTGAAGTGTTATTCCTAGGGAAAAGGAACTTGCAAATACAGAGTCCCCTAAATAATAGATGCACCCCATTGTTACAAAGGGAAGGCTGAGAGCTCTAATCTGTTCAGAAAGTCAAAAAATACTTAACACAGGATCAGATGTTGGTAAACACTGATCAGAATGCTGCATAATGGATAGTATCATAAATAGTAAAATGTTTCAAATTCTACAAAACTAAACTAAGCATTTAAAGACATAAGTGTAAAGAAAACTGATTTAAAATCAATGTTATTAAAGAATTTGATTGTTGTGAACTTTTAGTTTCTCATCAAGACGCCTGAAGTTGTCAAAAGATAATCATCCTATTTTCCAAAGAGTTTTCCTGAGAACATCCCTCTGTCTCTCTATATTTTGAGATCTAGTCCAATCGCATTTCCTTTGCTACTTCTTACTTGTGTTCAAGTCTGTTGCCTAGTTCATCAGACAACTGTTTCTGTTATAGAATCAGAGAGCTGGAAGAGACCCCAGGAGGTCATCAAGTCAAGCCCCCTGTGCAAGGCAGGACCAATCCCAACTAAATCAACCCAGCCAGGGCTTTGTCAAGGCAAAACTTAAAAACCTCTAGGAATGGAGATTCCACCACTTCTCTAGGTAATCCATTCCAGTGCTTAACCACTCTCCTAATGAATTAGTTTTTCCTAATAGCCAATCTAGACCTCTCCCACTGTAACTTGAGACCATTACTCCTTGTTCTGCCATCCATCACTACTGTGAACAGCCTTTCTCCATCCTCTTTGGAACCTCCCTTCAGGAAGCTGAAGGCTGCTATCAATTCCCCCATCGCTCTTCTCTTCTGAAGACTAAACAAACACAAATCCCAAGTGCAGGACTCTACACTTGTCTTTCTTGAACCTCATAAGATTTCTTTTGGCCCAATCCTCTAATCTGTCCAGGTCATTTTGGACCCTATCCCTGCCCTTCAGGATAGTGTCCCCTAACTTAGTGTCATCTGCGAACTTGCTAAGGGTGCAGTCCATCCCCTCATCCAATAAAGATATTGAACAAAACCGGTCCTAAAACTGAACCTTGGGGCACTCCGCTAGAAACCCACCACCAACCTGACATCGAGCCATTGATCACAAGCCATTGGGTCCAACCATCTGTCCATCTTACAGTCCATTTATCCAATCCATATTCCCTTAACTTGCTGGCAAAAATATCGTGGAAGACCGTATCAAAAGCCTTGCTAAAGTCAAGGTAGGCCACATCCACTGACTTACCCATAACCACAGAGCCAGTTACCTCATCATAGAAGCTAATCAGATTGGTTGGGCATAACTTGCTCTTTGTGAATCCATGTTGACTAATCCTGATCACTTTCCCCTCCTCTAAGTGCTTCAAAATGTATTCCTTGAGAATCCCCTCCATGATTTTTCCGGGGACTGAGGTAAGGCTGACTGGTTTGTAGTTCCCTGGATTGTCCCTCTTCCCTTTTTTAAAGATGGGCACTACATTTGACTTTTTCCAGGCATCCGGGATCTCTCCCGATCTCCCTCATTGAGTTTTCAAAGGTAGTGGCCAAAGGCTCCACAATGGCATTTGCCAACTCCCTCAGTACACTTGGATGCATTAAATCCGGGCCCATGGATTTGTGTATGTTTATCTTTTCTAAATAGTTCCTAATTTGTTCTTTCCCCACCAAGGGCTGTCCACCTCCTTCTCATACTTTGTGTTTCCTAATGCATTTGTCTGGGAGCTGACCTTGTCTGTGAAGAAAGAGGCAAAGAAAGCATTGAGTACTTCAGCTTTTCCTAAATCATCTGTCACAAGTTTACCTCCATCATCCAGTAAGGGCCCCACACCCTCTCTGATCACCCTCTTATTGCTAACATGCCTGTAGAAACCTTTCTTGTTATCCTTCACGTCCCTTGCTCGCTGCAATTCCAATTACACTTTCGCCTTCCAGATAACTCCCCTGCATTCTCGAGCAATATATTTATACTCCTCCCTAGTCATCTGTCCAAGTTTCCACTTCTTATAAGCTTCCTTTTTGTGTTTAAGCTCACCAAGGATGTCCCCGGTAAGTCAATCTGGTCGCCTACCATATTTGCTTCTCTTGCTGCTCATCGGGATGGTTTCTTCTTGTGCCTTTCATAAGGCATCTTTAAAATACTGCCAGCTCTCCTGGACTCCTTTCCCCTTCATGTTAGCATCCCAGGGAATCCTGTCCATCAGTTCTTTGAGGGAGTCAAAATCTGCTTTTCTGAAGTCCAGGGTGTGTATTTTGCTACTCTCCTTCCTTCCTTTGGTCAGGATCCTGAAATCTACCATCTCATGATCACTGCTTCCCAGGTTGTCACCCACCTCTGCTGCCCCTACTTGTTCCTCCTTGTTTGTGAGCAGCAAGTCAAGCTGCACATGGCCCCTGGTCGGTTCCTTCAGCTCTTGTACCAAGAAGTTATCCCCAACTTTCCGTAAAAACTTCCTGGATTGTCTGAGTACAGCTGTATTGGTCTCTCAACAGATGTCAGGGTGATTAAAGTCCCCCATGAGAATCAGGGCCTGATATCTGGAAGCTTCTCTCAGTTGTCCAAAAAAAGCCTCGTCTTTGTCATCCACCTGATCCGGCGGTCTACAGCAGACACCAACCACAATATTATCGCTGTTGCTTCCACCTCTAAACTTAACCCATAGACTCTCAACAGTCTTTTCTCTCTCTAAATACTGGAGCTCCGAGCAATCATACTGCTCTCTTACATACAGGGCAACTCCGCCTCCTTTTCTCCTTCGCCTCCCTGCTGGTGTGATAACAAGATTCTATCACACCAGCCTCTTTTTCTGTCAGATAAATTATCATACACCATATCCTCAACCTTCTTTCCAGGCCAGCCATGATGTTCTCTAGATCCAAAAGTTATAAATACATGCATTGCAATAGTATTCAGACATTCCAACAGAGATTAAGGCCCCATTGTGCTAGGTAGTGTGCAAACACAAGAAACATTCACTGCCCAGAAGAGTTAATATTTTAGTAAAATAAGACACACAAAAGGGTGAAAGCCTTTAAATAAATTTCCCTCAGTTCTGATCAAGCCCCTCTATAAACTCAATAGTCCTAACCAGGATAATTACTAGAGCTAGTTGGGATTTTTTGTTGAAACTTTTAAAATTGGAAAATGCCAAATCCGTAGAAACCAAAATCAGTTGTGGAAAAACACTGTTTCAATGAACTGACTATTTTAAAAGAATAGAGTTTTGAAACTGTCCTGTTTTGACATTTTCAAAACAGTTTTTTGATTCTGAGCATCCTATTTAGTTAGACTTTTAAATTAATGTATAGTAAAAAAGGACAAAAATATCTAAAAATGGTCAAAATTGAAACAATCATCAACATATTTCAACTGACCTGATCTAAACATTTTCATTTAATTTTTAGCTTGCAAAAATTTTGATGCTTTCTCCCCTGGTAGCAGGCAGGGAACTTTTTCAGAATCTCAAAAAATCTCATGGAATGAGAGAAGTATTTCTTGATGAGGTCTGTTAGCAACCTACTGTCTTAGAACACTGCCTCTGAAATGCTTAATTCCTACTTCGAAGCCGGAAAAAAAGCGTCTAGACTGGCCCGATCCTCCGGGCTTTATTCCGGAGGATCGGGCCAGTCTAGATGCTTTTTTCCGGCTTTTCCCCAAGCCGGAAAAAAAGCGGCGGACATGTTTATTTAAATCCCGCGGGGGATATTTAAATCCCCCGCGGATTTCCCTATTCCCACTTTCAAAATTAGCATGCCCCTTCCGAAAAAGGGCCCAGTGTAGATGTAGCCAACCTCTTTAGCTAACTGGACTATTTCAAAAGACAATAAAACATGAAAATGAGAATTTTACAAACTAAAGAAATAAATTATTTTTGAAATAAAATAGCTACTCTAGTTAAAACTCAGCAAGTTCATGGATAAAATATGTAGTTTTACAGGCTACAAGAAAGAATCATCAGTACTAAAGATGTGACAGCTGGTGTTTAAGTACCTGACTTGGAGAGAACCTTTCACCGAGGCAGACTGCCTGCTGAAGAATAGGTATGCCATCAGGTAAACAGAGAGCAGGATAGCAAAACCAGTAATAGAAGTGATACTTTTTTAAATCCTAGAGGAAAACATATATACACATATATTAGCAGACAATTACCACTATCAGTTACTATCCCAACTAGCCACTTATAAACTGAACAATTATTGGACTCTCAATTCCAGTTATGGTCATGGTCTTGCAAACACTTATGCAGGTGTTTAACTTTACTCATTGGAACAGTCTCATGTCAGTGAGTAAAGTTAATAATTCATGTAAGTAGTTTGCAGACTAGGGAACCATGAGATCTGTGTCGAGGAACTACACAATAGGAAACTGAATTAATTCAATTTTTTATTATTCAATGCATTTAATTTCTTCACAAATGTACAATGCACTTTTTCTAATAATACTTACCACTTACAGAGTACCTGTCATCTGACTGTCTCATGCTGCTTTACAAATACTCACCATGCTTCATGAGACTCCTGTTTTACAGATCACTCAAGTCATTTTACAAATAGGTAAAGTTACACATTAAGGCAGTGTTTCCCAATTTTATTTGGCCTTGGAACCCTTTTAAATTTGAAAGAATTTTGCAGAACCCCTAATAACAGTATAATATATGGAACTGAAAAAGTAGATCACAAATAAGTAAGGATAATAATAAACAAATGCTAAAGGAGGTCATGAGATCAACATTTAGTTTAATTGCACATATTTAAAAACAAAAATCACATAATTTTTTTTTAAATCATAAAATGTTATTGTAATGGGTATTTCTTGCTGAACCCTTATTTCCACGGAACACTATTTGGGAAACACTGCACTAAGCAATCAACTAACTTGCCCAAAATTACACATACAGCAAATCTGTGGCAGAGCAGGGAATATAACCTAGTTTTCATCACCCACTATTACATCAGAGGTTCTCAATCTGTATTCCATGTACTGCTGCAAGTTTGTGAAGCAGTTACTGGTGGCCCATGGACAAACAGACTAAGCTAGCTTTATTTCTAGTTGCTAGATTGCATTAAAATTCAGCTAGACATACAATAAATGTCTAAAGTTTTTCATGTAAATAATTGCTGCAATTGCCATAGGTATGCTATATAAGGACTTCCACGCAATCAAGAACAGAAGGAGAGGTATCTAATATACACACTATAAAATATCTCAGAATACTAACATTAGAAGGAACTCACTGCGCTTCTCTGCTATTAAACTGATTGATGCAGTTAAACTATAAAACTACACAAATGAGTTCTACATTTCTTATAGACTAGCAAGTGTTTTGGGATGATGTATTCATCTGTTTCTATTGTTAAGCAAAATTAGAGTTTTAAATATGACACATCATCATAAATATGGTTAATTTTTGTTACTTAAATGGACCAGATGGATGAAGATTGAATTTATACTGGTTTTAAAATGGTCACCACAAATCTGTGATCAAAAGTTGAGTACAGTCCAGTTACAAATCATCCTAGATTTCCCTCTTAATTTTTATCTATCTTCTTCATGTGAATCCCATCAACTGGTGTCTGCTCAATAAACACTGTCCCTCCAAAATGCTCTTTTCAGTGCCATATCATCTATCACACTACATGCTACATATCTTCCTTCATGACATCCCACCATTTTTTCTTGGGTTGGCTTCTCCGTCTTTTCCCTTCCAGCTAGATCTGTTGGTCTCTTTTACTGACATGGTTGTCAGGATTGCACCTTCCATGACCAAAACATCTGAATCTGCATTCTCATTTTTTATCTCTATGGCTGTCAAAAGTGACAGCTTTGTACAAACTGTTGCCATGAATAAACATGGTGAACTTTTCTTTATTTAAATATTCCTTTGTAAGACAGAGACTGGCATTAAGTAAAAACAAGCACAGTTTATAAGATCATTATCTCTGCACATTTTTAATTTGACCTGATCTTTAAAAGGTTAAAATAATTCATGCTTTATTAAAAAGGTCATGCTTTTCCGTAATCTACACAGTTGCATCTACAATACAAGTCTATTATGTATTGATACAAAGATACACTCATACAGATCCATTCACTCTTTCATGCATACATACACAAAGCATATGGAAACTTGATTAACTATATAATGCAGCTTTTATATTGGGAATTTGTAAGTCTTTTAATCAGAAAGAACAATTTAATACATTAATTCATGCCATTTAATTGATACCACTGTTCCGAATATTTTTCATCAGGGGAAAGATTTAACATAAAACTATCTCTTTTTTCAGATAAAAATAATAATTAACTTCTATCTTGAAAAATTCTTTTACTATTCAACAATTACTATGTATTTCAGAGAGTTTGTCTGTTCAAGAACCTCTCCTAAACAGTAAGAGCTCAGAATCAAATTTGGTATACAGCTTTCTCTTATCATAACTTAAAGCAAGAGTTTTGTTGTGCCAGGAAAATGGGATGTGCCTGGAATGAAATTGCTTCTCATAAAATCATTCAGAAAAGAGAAAGAATCACAAGGCAAATGAAAGGGGATGGCTGGGAATGCTCCATCCTTCTTTCTGGGACTGCACCAGCCTCGAGCCCCCCACTGCCCCAAGCACCCTTTAAGGCGGGCAGGGGAGTTGAAGCCCCCCAAAATGCATACGGGAACACTGCTGGCTGTTCCCCTTTGTCAGGGAGTGAGGAGAAATTGTATAGTTTGCTGCATTCCTCACTCAGGCTAGGGAGCGCAGGGGGCAAACAAGCTGTGCACTGTGCTCTCTCTTCCTGACAGGGACAGGAAGAGGAAGAGCAAGTATCCCTTATATAAATCTTGGGTGGGAAGCCTTTGGACCCTGCTGCCACCTCAACTACACACAGAATCCCCTGCCCATAGCCTCTCCTTACGCCCACCCGTCCAATCTTGAGTCCCTCACCCACCCACCCCCAACTCAGTCTCCTGCCCTGAGCTCCTCTTTAAGGACCAGAGCAATACTGGGTACATATACTTTCATAGAATAAATTGCATTTACTTACTGCAAAAGTCAGCAGTAGAAATTTGTTCAAGAGCATGGGGTTTTCAAGGGCAGTTCCCGATTTTATTGTCTCCCATATCTGAGAGTGGAAAGAAAAAAGAAAAGAAAAAAATCACAAAAAAGCAGGCGGAGAGGTTCATTCATTTTTCCTTCTTCCATACATATTAAAAGATCAAAGCTAATCGTAGATATGTAAAGTCAGAAGGGTCCTCAAGAGGTCGTGAACTCCAAGCCCTTGCGCCAAAGCAGAATTAAATAATATTTTCAGTAGGTATGATTTTGCCCAACTTAATTCAGCCCATACTCTAACAAATGTTCATCCCATAAGCAGGCATTTCACTAAGGGTATGTCTACACTACAAAGTTAATTCGAAATAACAGCTGTTATTTCGAATTAACTTTGTAGTGTAGACATACCCTTAGTGAAATGCCTGCTTATGGGATGAACATTTGTTAGAGTATGGGCTGAATTAAGTTGGGCAAAATCATACCTACTGAAAATATTATTTAATTCTGCTTTGGCGCAAGGGCTTGGAGTTCACGACCTCTTGAGGACCCTTCTGACTTTACATATCTACGATTAGCTTTGATCTTTTAATATGTATGGAAGAAGGAAAAATGAATGAACCTCTCCGCCTGCTTTTTTGTGATTTTTTTCTTTTCTTTTTTCTTTCCACTCTGACCATCCACCCGCATGCGGGCCAGCAGGCACACCCGCAAGTGGGAGGAGTTCCAGAGGCAGCAGCTGCGCTTACATGTACAGCAGGTCCAAAGTCAGGAGCAGTGGGTGTAAGAGGACCTGCAGCTGCGGCAGGAGAGCTTGCGGGAGCTGTGGGAGCAGGGCCATGCCCTCCGCGAGCACCTGTAGGCCCTGGCAGACTGATTGCTGGCTCCTGTTGCTCCAGCCCCTGCGGCCGCCCCAGCTATCGCTCCTCCTCCCACTCCTGCTCCCCCTCCCACTTCTTCTGCACCCCCCATCCCTCCTGCCCCACCCTCCACACCCACTTCCCCCTGCGACTCCCGCACCCACAGTGCTGCGAGACGGGAGAGCCAGCAAAACACCCAA